ATTTTTCGAGATTCAACCCCTGAGAGTGCAGATTGATCATTCTTTTGCAAGATTTCATGTCGAAGGGCATCTATCTAACCCATCATCTGATCTCGCAATTCTTGAACATATAGTTGGATCTCTTGATTCACATATTTCATATTGAATTCCATCTCTGTTTGACCTCTTTGCTATTATTCTCCTTCGTACTTGGCTCCTCGCCTCGCCTGTGGCATGCCTACGCTCATCACATTACATTTTAGGATTTCAAATCCTTGATTGTCTGCTTGTGGAACACGCCCTGAGAGTTAGAGCCAAGATAAGAAAAGTGAGATAGAAAGAGAGCTAAGGAATGCAAAAGAATCTTCAAATGTCAGAATCTCCCGGAGTGAAGATTCAAATGTCTCTTTATTGGTCATGGCCTTCTATTATAAGGGTTCGAGAACACATGTACATGTAAGGAAAGAGCAGTTTTCATAACTGTATGAATAATTGACTTTAAATTACATGATAATGAAAATAAATGTGACACATGACCGATCGCCCAAAGCCTTGAGGTCGACCGACTATGTGGGTCGCCCGCGGTGTGTAGGCATCGATCGATCGCATTGGTCGATCTTATATTCTTTTTGACAAGTTGGTCGGTTGACATTGCTAGCGGTCTCATGATCTGTAGACATGTCAATCAACATATTCTACCAGGCAAAAGATTTCGTTAGTCGGCCGGTTTTGCTGGTCGACCGAGATATAGAGTCAATCGACTGTTTGCTGCTGAGTTTTCTACAGTGCTGTTCAAGACTTTATTTGTGTGTCCATGCTTTCGGCCATTCAATTTTTTGAGATTAATGCTGATATTTTTTGTGATGTACAAATACCAAATATCTAAACTAATTTTTAGAGAATTAGCTGATAAAAAACCATTATACTCCCCATGATGTCTAAGAGATAAATATTGGCATGTACCGTTTTCAATTTATGAATTTATAGAAATTAAATGATAGCTAAGAGATAAATATTGTCTGTACCGTTTTCAATTTATGAATTTATAGAAATTAAGAAGAGGCGGCTGGAAATTCCTGGTTTTCATCCTCGAGGGGACCACCGCCAATCGCCTTTATACCGTACAACTAGCGTATTTATATCGCCCATCCCCCCTAGCGCCTACGCGCCATTTTCTCTCTTGTTCCTCTCAGGACAAACGCACAAACAAACTCTCTCTCTCTTATGGCTACCTCCTTTCTAGCCACTAGACTGGTTCTCAACCCTAACCATAATTCTATCATTTCCAGGTCGCAGAGTCTCCGTCGCTGCCACCCTGCTCCGTTCCTATTCCGATGTTCCGCCGCCCCTTTCATCTCCTCCTCCTTAGCTGCCCCCTTCATTTCCTCCTTTTTCTCCGCCACCGATGACCCTTCTAGCCGTCTTCGGCGACTCGCTTCAGAGTTCCGATCTCTCCCGGTGCCAATCGACCGTGTGAAGCTTCTCCTTTCCTACGCTTCCGATCTCCCTCCATTCCCCAATGCCGAACGCGTCAATTCCAATCGTGTCATGGGCTGCACCGCCCAGGTCTGGCTCTCTGCCTGGATGGACGCCCTCGGCCGGATGCGCTTCGCTGTTGATAGCGATTCAGAGATCACCCGTGGCTATTGCGCCTGCCTTTTGGCGGTCCTCGACGGCGCACGTCCGGAGGAAGTGCTTGCCATACGAACTGACGATCTTGCGGATCTCACTCTTGGTGGATTGGACGGTCGTGTTCGCTCGAGGATGAATACTTGGCACAATGTGCTGGTTAGCATGCAGAAGAAGACGCGGGCGTTGGTCTTCGCTGGAGAGGGTCGGCCGCCGGGCGAGCCGTTCCCGTCATTGGTTATTGATTCCGATGGGATTCATGCCAAGGGCAGCTATGCTGAAGCGCAGGTGAGATTTCCCTGTTCATCCCTTGTTTGGAGGTCTTTTATTCGTGGGAAATGCGCTGGCTTTTTCTTTCTGTGCTGCGTTCTTTTTTCCGCCTTTCATTTACTTTGGTAACAATCAGTGTTTGTTAAAGAGCGCAACTATGGAAAAATTGCGAGTTTCATACTTATGATATTGATTTCCACTGTAAAAGTTCAGGTGCTTCCCCACTGCTTCATTAATTAATATTAATTTAAATAGAATAAGAAGCATCATCTAATTAGTCAGTAAAAATCGAAGTGATCAAATACATCCCGTTATTCTGTGAAAGAATTCATGGCATGAGTGCTAACGTACAACTGCTTATGCATTATTGCTCGGCCTTATTCGGGTTGGTCAAGAGCATTGGCACTCTTTTTTTTCAAAAGGATCTTTTTAGGTTTGATTGGTTGGTAGGATTGGTCATAAAAATTAAAATATTTTGATCACATGTACATGGGAGCATACTTTTATTGAAGGTAATGGCAATTGTAGCAAGAAAAGGCCTATTCCTCTTGAGAATTATTGGGATACCATGTTCCTGTTCGTTGATAATATTATATTTTTTTAGGAAAAGAAAGAAATTGAAAATAGGCACCTGACATTTGTCTATGGATGTGCTAGTTTAGAGTACTAACGGATATGACGACTCATAATGTTAGTCTACTTGTGAAAATGATATTATAGTGGGTTTTAGTTTTAAATTTTTGGGCTTGTTGAGTGATGACACACTGATTGGATATAAGTAAGATTTCATCACAAGTTCTTGACAAGCAGTACAAATATATTGCTAATTAAAGTAGGTGACTTCCATATTATAGTGGATTCAGGTTCATAGCTTTGTAAATTTAACCATGAAAGCTTCAACTGATCTCTTTTATAAGAAGAAGACAAATATGTGATATAATAAAAAAATGATAATATGTGGAATGATTATATCAAATGGTTGGTAACAGTAGAATTTGAAGAAAACATAGTGGTGAATAAATTGAAGTAGTTTGGACATGTACAATGAGTAAAAAGGAGTTTTTACGATCGTTAAATAATATTAAAATCAAAATGGGTGAAAGAAGGTAAGAAGGATAGAAATTGTGTCGAGCGAGTCATTCAATATAGTTTAAAGACTCATGCAAGGCTTGATAAGAAAGGTTGGAGAATGGTGATTGATAAAACTAAATTAAATAGTTGGGATAAGGTTAATGGTGTTGTGATGAGTTGATAGAAGAATTCATAAGTGAAAAGGAGGAAAAATTGAAAAAGAAAAGTTATCTCAAATCCATTGAAGGCTATTGGAAGGATTTTGAACTTGGTACTTATTGGCCATTTATTTTAAAGGAGCCGAGTTTACAATGTTATAGAGATCCCAATACTATCCTTCAAAATATATTTTTGTAGCTATTGTTTGTCAAAGAATAGCTTTCAATGTTAGTGAAGGACTTGTTGGCTTTGAGAAGAGTCTCGTTAAAAAAAAAAAAAGAGAGAGAGAGAGAGAGACTCCATGTTGAAGAGCCCATTAGCATCATATGGTGCTTATCTTCCTTTCTCTTATACCATTTTGAAAACTAGAATGAATAATGAGAGAGTAAAAATGGGATATTTTATGATTGTATTTTTTTCTTTGTTACATGCAAAGAAAATATGATAAGAATTTGTATATGTGGAGAAATATCTATGTAGGAGCAAAACAAATCTGAAAATTTGTCTTTGATTCTAAACTCCATGGTTATACACATACAAATAATAAGCCTTATCCATGGATTGTTGGATTATTATAGACAAGAAGTTATTGCCCACTGTTTGTTAGATTGTTGTAGATGAAAAGTTGTTTTTCACCAAATCTAGATCATTGTAGATAGAAATGTATTGACATACAGAATTGCTTGAACTGTTAGTTTTACCTAGCCTATGGGTATTTGCAATATAAATCCTTTAGGCAATTTAAGAACGCCTTGTTCTCCCGGCATTGTTCCTTAATTTTTGTTTCAAGCATTTTATTGGTTATTTATCTATCAAATGATGTATTATCAAAATGATTGAAGTTTCTTAGAAAAATATCAATACTAATGGCTTTAGATGTAATTTAAGTGCCAGATTTGCGATCTTCTTTTTACATTCAATTCCAGCTTTCCAGTGACTCTCATTACATTGTAGTGCATTTACAGGTCAAGTTCTTATCTCCTGATGAGATGAAGATTAGAGAACTAGTTGATGTTCTTGCGGAAAAGAAAATTGGTGTGGTTGCACACTTCTACATGGATCCAGAAGTCCAAGGCATCCTTACAGCTGCACAGAATCTGTGGCCTTACATCAACATATCTGATTCATTAGTCATGGCAGATAGAGCTGTCAAAATGGCAGAAGCTGGGTGCCAGTACATTACTGTGCTTGGTGTGGACTTCATGTCAGAAAATGTCCGTGCAATACTCGATCAAGCTGGCTTTGAGAAGGTATTGTAAACTTCATGATGTTTCCCACCTTGTTTCTTGGTACTGCACCATATTTTATGTTTTATTGCAGCAAGAGTGGTTTTTATATCATAAGCCGATATTTATCTTATGCTGCTATCAATATTTGAATTGTCTAATATGTGATAGCATTTTGATAATCAGAACCATTTTTGCATGATTGCATTCACAGGTCTTATGTTATTTTCCAATGTATTTGCTTGCCATTTATTTTGGGGTTGTTATTCTGGATTTCTTTGTTTTGTGTTGCCTTGTCTCAAGCCTTAGTTTTTTAAAATATGTTGTAATTGGCTTGTCTTGAACTTTTAGTTGAGTTTTAGCTTTTAAAGAAAGCACTGAGTATCATAAATTTTACCCAGGTTGAAGTGTACAGGATGTCAAGCGAGCAAATAGGTTGCTCATTAGCTGATGCAGCGGCAGGTCCGATGTACATGCATTATCTTGAGACAGCATCAAAGTCACCACCTTCTTTGCATGTCATTTACATAAATACTTCCCTGGAGACAAAAGCTCTTGGACATGAGTTAGTGCCTACAATTACCTGCACTTCATCTAATGTAGTGCAAACTATCCTTCAGGCAAGTAACCTGAGAGCAAACTGTTTTGTTCTTTAATATCTTATGATTGTTTCATATCTTGAAATCCTTGATTCTTCTTTCAGGCCTTTGCACAGATGCCCAATTTGAATATCTGGTATGGTCCAGATTCTTATATGGGTTCAAACATTACAGAATTGTTCAACCAGATGGTTGGCATGACCGATGAGGAGATTGCTGAGATACACCCAGAACATAGTAGGAACACAATCAAATCTTTATTACGTCAGCTACATTATTATCAGGTACATGGTGATGCAACATTCAATTATAAATAATTTTTTTCAGTAAACTACATCACTGTTAATTTTACTTTTGCAAAGTCCTGCTTTATCTGAAATTTTACACTGGTTTAAATGTCGTAATATCACCAAATTTCTTAAATTATATTTGAATTTCGTTCTTAACCATAGAATGAAAAAATGTTTAAATGAAGATGCAACATCATCTATCATTTTTCCATATCCATACTCTATTTTATGTTCAAATTCAAGCATAGACATCAAATAATAAGATGAGTTTGGATGCCAGCTAGCCTGGATGATAAGGAATTTGAAAGCTATTGTGAAGTTGCTGATATTGAATCCTGCCTGCATAAATTTTGAGCTTTGGCCTTCGAATTTCTATAATAATAATAAGAATAATAATAATAATAATAATAATAATAATAATAATAATAATAATAATAATAATAATAATAATAATAATATTAGAATCTTGTCCACTTAACTTGAAGATTTGTGTATATACTATATTTTATAGTGAAACGTCACTTAGTTTAGCTGGATGTTTATCCATGTCAGGCTGTGCATTTTATTAACTAGTTTATTGAGTTTGTTAAACTGTCAAACCAATTGATTTCATATTGGTCTACTTGGAAATTAAAGTGATTAAAATTGAGGCGTGTAAAACTTGGTGCAATTTACTTTTGCAATAACCAGATTTTATTTGCTTATGGATTTTGGACTAGATTGATTCTAAAATTTAGTGTATAGTTTGAAAGTTCAGTTCAAAATTCAAATTTTTGTTCTTTATTTTTTTAGTTTTTGTATGACTTTGGCCTCGGGAAGCATAAGTCAAACAGGGAGATGTGATAAGGGATTGACTGTGGTAAAATGAAAAAGAAAAGTCAAGTGTTCAGTGATGGTATTGAGGCTGCAATTGCATAAGAATGCTAGGATAAAGTGCAACCAATAAAGATTATCAGGATAAACTGCTTGTCTGGATAGGTTGGATAAGCTGCAGCTGCCCCAAACAGACCCTTAAGGGCTGATGTATATTTGCACTAGAGGAGAGGGAAAGGGAGCATGCAACCATAATGAATCACAGAAGGCTGAACTGAATTTCATTATGAATGTCACTTGATTGCCAGAGAGTGAATGGATCAATGGCCAGAAAAATTATGGTTATTTTGAAAAATATATAAAAAAAATTAATCAATTCAGATTAATAATCAATGTAAATCCACCTATTTAAATGATAAATATTTTTAAGCCATATTAATGAACAATGCACTCCCCGTATTTCACAATTTTAACATTGAAGCGTGAGGGTCTGTTGGCTCAATCAATTCGTGGATGGTCTACGTTGATGCTTATGGGAGTGATTGTGGGCTAACAAGGCACTACTCATGTCAAAATCCTTTGATTTCCTGCCAAAATTCCTAAGAGAAGCTCTGAAATGATGTTGCATTGGCTTGATGTAAAGCCACACCGTATCATTTCTCGAATATGATAGGCACATTTCACGTCATAGTTTATCACAACTCTGCCATTGATCCACATTTACAATAATTCAATGTTAGTTGATTGAGAGCCAGACCTAAGCAACAATACTCCCTTCACTCGCTCGGTCAAATTCTCCTTTCTTACTTCTATTTATCTATCTATAAGTTTCACACAACCATTAAATCACCTTCTTCCCCCTTTTCACTCCAAACATGGGGGACTATCATCCTTGATAGGTATGTGAGGGAAAGCTCCCAAGGGAATAATGAAACCCTTTCCATATTGCACAATCATATCCATGACAATAAGTTTTCTCTGCCTTCATATTGCTTTCTCTTTTTCACTTTTTATGACATTGGTTGACTTGTAGGGTTGTAGATTATGTTTGAGCTAACATTAGTGGTGCCACTCAATCCCTATAAAGTACCGACTCCTCCAAAAAGAAGCAGTGCACGCGTCGGGCACGGACACGGCTTCGACACAAGCCGATAAGTGTTTGCAACTCTACTAAATGTTTTAAAGTTGTTTGATTAATTAGATACTTCTCGGACACTACTCGACGCCAGTCGAACACGGCTCTACACCAAACACAGGAAGATAAATTTGAGCGGCATCGAAGAGGCGACGAAAAAAAAAGCTAAGCTGCAATGTTTTGTAGGTCTTATTGTCTTACCATCGCCTTGCAATCATTCTCAGTAGCCTTGTCAATGCGAGCAACGAGGAAGCGGTCATGGAACGACACTGATCGAAGAAAGGGAGTCACCAAGCAGCTCTAATCGACATAAATGAGTTACCAAGCAGCCTTAATCAAAGCGAGGGATACTTTGACGCGATACAGAGCTTCAACTTTAGCAAGGGCACAATCCAAAGCACAATACAAATCTTCCAAGTGATCTTTGAAGTGGTTAAAGCTTCGTGCTTTTCCCTTTATTTATTTCTTCATTATTTTTTTTTTTTCGAAGGTAAGTTGGCAACATGAAATTCTTATGTATTTACCTATCTCACAGCAAAACTTTGATATGTTTGCATACCACTTTATCTATGCATGAAAGGGTGGGTTTCATTCAATGATTTGTGAACCTTGATTAGAATTTGATGCGATAGGGAACTAATTGAGTGGTATGCTGGTAAATATGACACGACATTTTGTCGGGTTCTAATGTTGAAATCGTGAAATCTTCCTTCACCGATTAATCTAGGTTATAACTTTTTTCTTAATGATTGCATTTGTTGTTTTGTGATGTCTTTAGTAGAAAATATTAAAAATATATATTTATGCTAATAATTTTTTTAAAAATATAAAAATGTATCAATGTAATATCATCTCCTATTTTTTGTAACTATGTATCGTTCTGTGCTTGATACAAGGTAAATTTTCATATATGTCCTACATTAAATATCATGTTTTATTCATCATTTATCGTGATTTTATGCTTGCAGAAAGTTCTTTGTGGTATTTTGCAGGCTATAGGTGTCTAGCACTCAAACAAAGTAAAAACATGCGATGTGGTGTTGAACAGCGTAGTAACACTATCTTTTGGTGTGACCACGCTAGATCAGGGCTCGACCATGCCAAAACTGGCGTGACCAAGCCGTCGAATGACTTGATCTTGTTTTGCCAAGTATGTTCATGTTAATTTCGGTCAAGGCTTTGAAAGGAAAGCTAGGGAAACTTCTTAAAGATATTGAGAGATTTGTGAAGGCTTTGTAGTGGAGATTTGAGGGTTTGAATGTAAACCTTAGAGTTCTCTTCTTCTTCCTTGAAGCAGAGAACTTTTAGGGTAGTTTTTCTTTCTCTTTTTTTTTCATATGGTTTAGGGAGGTTTTGATGAGTTATGAGAGGATAGTTTTAGTCTATTTGTATGAGATAAGATCGTCAAGTAACTTGTATTGAATGAAGAGAATCACAGTGTATTGTAAGGACAAATTGGCTCGGTGAGAGTTTTTTGTACCTCTTATGCTGTTCTTTTTATTCCCTCAATAACAAGAATTGGCATTTTCTTATTTCATGAATTGTAAGTAACATCGCTTTCATACTTCTGTGATGTAATTTGTGGTTTTATTGTAGTTTTCATTTTATGGATTTTTTGTTGCTCTCGACGCCTTTTTGATGCATAAATTTCTAATGTTGATATGTGACCTTCTGATTGAAATTTACTTTTTATTGTATGTGATAAGAATGTTAAAAATCTCTTGTGAACTATGACTTTTGTCCGTTGCGTAGTGGAAATGTTAGGTTAATCAGGAAAACCTAGTAGAATAGGCATTCTGTTAGAACTTTGCAACCTAGATAGGGGATTTGAATAACCCTGGGAAATGTCATAGGGTTTAGCGAAACTTAAATTTATGAGTTTCTGATTCTTTTTCTCACCTAGGGATAGACTTAGGGTCTGTTTGGGGCAGCTGTAGCTTATTGAATAATCTGCTGATAAGCTGATTAAAAATAATCTGCTGATAAGCTATGTGCGGTGGCTATTACAAATTTTTATTTTTTTGGAAAAGTCAGACCATTGCTAATAAGCTCCCACCACACCTAGATAGGTGCGGTGTGAAAATACTATTTTCTGTGTTTTGAAAACGCATAAGTTGCCAAAACACATTTTACCAAAATAGGTCAGGTGCATTTTCAAAACGCCAACAGACCAATTAAGCTGCCCCAAACGGGCCCTTAAGGAGAAAACTTATATCTCTGGTTGTCACTAATAATGTGAATTACATAGGAAAACTTTAAGAAATCACTTGACTTGTGTCACAAAAGTATGAATTTTGCATATTTGAAAAACTCAACACTTCTTACTGTCTTTTTTGTTTACTGCATTTTTAGGACTGTTAGATTTATCTCTTGAATTCGATCACTTCAAACTAGATTTAGTTGTTCAGTGAACTAGAACTTCATTTATTATAAATATTTTGACACTATTCTCATGGGATCGATATGCGGACTTTTAGATCACATATTACTTGACACGTTTACTAAAGTGGTTGACCGAGTTACCTCACAATAACCGGTATTGATGTTTTCCTATGTTATGAATTGTAAGTGACATTGCTTTCATACTCTTGTGATGTAAGGTTTTTGGTTTGCTTGTAGTTTTCCTTCTATAAATTTTCTGTTTCCCTCGATAGCTTTTCGATGCATAAATTTCTGCTTTTTTTGTGTTCACCTTCCAATCTTAATTTAATTTTATCGGACGTGATAAGAATGTTAAAACTCTTTTGTGAACTATGACTTCCGCCCGTTGCGTAGTGGAACAAGTAGATTAACCACAAAAATATGGTAGAATAGGTATATTCTGTTAAGAATTTGCAACTTAGAAAGAGGATCTAAAGAAGCCCGAGAAATTTTAGGATTAAGAGAAACTTAATTTTGTGTGTTTCTAATTCTTCTTCTGACCTAGGTTTAGGCCTAAGGAGAAAATTCGTATCCCTGGTTGTCAACAATAGCATGGGTTCCATAAAAAAATTTCAAAAAATCGCTTGACCTGTGTCATAGGAGTATAAATTTTGCATATTTAAAA